GCTTGGGATTAAAATGCTAAGCATAGCTATTATAGCTAATACTGTGTGTTTAAAATTAAATGTGCTATAAATACTCCTTTTGCATAAAACCCTAGGCCATAATGGCTTCCTACGTGAGTTGCTCAGCTGCTGAGCGTTTCTCCTTTTGTTGTCCCTTATTCCTTTTCACCTTGAGAGCCAAGAAGTCACCTTTCTTCTTGGTTTCTTCATCAAACACATAGTGGAAAGTCTTGTGAGGTTGAGAGGCACCATTTTTCTGAGTGTTCAGCCACTGCCTGTGAGAATTTGGTAGCTGAGTTCATAGGCTTGAGTGATTGAAGCCATTTCCTTGGTTGTGGGAGCTCCAAGGAGTGACCTTTGGTGCAAAGAACCAACCTTTGATTACCATTTTCGTGCACATTGAGAGACAGAACCATGGAGCTGACTTGAGAGCTCCAAGAGCATGCTCCATAAAGCTTAGGGAATGTGGCCCTACACTTGTGATATCAATATGATATGAAAAGGGAACAGGGGATACATAGATAGAGAAAGAGGCGTTGAAAATTCTGGGAGAGTACCTTAATCTTTTAGGGTTTTGACCAAGTTACTTAAGTGATTTTATATTATTTAGTGACACACAATGTAGTTTTTATATGAATTGTTATCAATTTTATATTAATTTTGTCTAATTATCATGTTCATAACATAAAAATTTGATTAGTGGATCACAGATCCACTTACAGCTGTTTATTTGCATTATAGTTTTTACTGGTGTTCTTAACTGTATCCGGATTTTATAATCTTCTTAACCTTATCATTATTGGTCTAATTATGACTTGTTAATCATATATTGGTCTTTCTTTTCATTTTCTCATCTTTTCCTCATTCCGGAATTCTACCGACTGCTCTTACAGCAGTACAAAATACCCGGCATAAGTGACTTTTCTAAAAAACCTCATTACGGGTATCGAACTTTATGAAATCATATACTAACTTCATCTATGAATCATATCATCAAAATAGCTCTTTAACTCTAATTTGCTAACTTAGAGCTATTATACTGACGGTTACTGCATCAGCAGTCAAAAATAACAAATGAAAAATTTGACTATATGTAATTCATTCATTTTCTAAAGTGTCTAATACAGTACCTACTATGTGTCTTTGTATCAGACACCCACATTGCCTACTATGTGTCTTTATATCAGACACCCACATTACCATATGGACATACCAATTTCCTATCAGGTTACTAACTACACAGCTATATATAATTTGGGCTAACAATACTCATTGAACACAGTTAGTGGCCCAAGAAGGAAAACCTCTAACCTGCTAGGCCCACCCTCTTGTTTTGCTGCTGTTACGCCCGTATCACCTTCAGAGGTTTGTTGTGTCTGTTTATCTCAAATCATTTGTTATTATATTGTGTCTGTCCTTAAGAGTTATTTATTATTGTTGATATTTAACCACAAGTTATAACTTTATTGAAAGAAATGAAAGTTATGCAGTGTCAAAGATGCTAAAAATGAGCTATGAATTTCTTGATGATTATTATGAGAAAAAAATATTTCTTGAAATAGCTTGTTTCTATATTGGAAAGGACAGACACAATATTACACAATTATCAAATGGATGTGGACTTGCTGCAGAAACCCGGATAAGTAAACTCATTGAAGATCATCCTTAATGCAATATTGCAACTGCATAATTTATATATTACATATTCGTATTTAGTCATCTAGAAGATAAAGAAGATACTTTTCAGATATATTAAATTGTGAATTCAATATTATACGTCTTAAAAACATTAAAGTAAATTCAATTATTAATGATATAATATGAATATTTATTAAATTGTACCCTGTAAACAGTTATCCTTGGTACTGTTATTATATAAATTGTAAAGAACATTAAATTGTAAATTCGATTATTAATATTAAATTGTAAAGTAATATAATAACTAGCCCAAAATTATCTGATAACTTATATTTGTATTTAGTAATATAAGTTAATTATGTCTACAATTAATTATGTTCAATATTCGCATTTGTTAAGATATATTCATTAATACTTTAACAAATACGATGATAATATATCTAAAAGATAGATATATTATCATCGTATTTATCTGATATTGATTCATATGAATAAATAATCGTTATATAATTTAAATTATAGATATATGTATGTTTTCAACTAAATTATATAATTCAAAGGAAGAGAATTGTTTATCATATTTAACATGAGATAAACTCATTTTTTTACACTTAGATATATAGGAGAGAGGAGAGAGAAAAAATATAAATGAGTCCCACCACTCAATATGTGAGTGTAGGAAAATAAATTTATCTTATGTTAAATGAAAAAACAATTCCCCTTGAAGAAAACATTTGTGTCTAAAAACCATAAACCTGATAGATTATGCCATTACAAGAAAACCGGATTTTCAGGGAGGTTTACTCTCGACTAAGAGTGATAAACGAACTAGAGACTTTTCAGGAGCTTTTAGACTGGTTCACGAAAGTTTGGACTTACATATATAAAATTAGTTGTTAGAACTAGACTTGAATTTGTATATATTTTTCATATAGTAAAAAAACCTCAAGCTCAATTTTTCATATATTATCATGAACTGATTGTAAAAATTATATTTTTGAAAATCGAAATTCACAGATAAAAAAAATTTTTCGTCTCCCGAACACTCCCTAAAAGTTTGTCACCCGTTTCACGCGTTCTGATTTTAGTGGAGACTTAGGACATCGCGCATTCAACTGCCCCCATTAAATTGATGTAATTCAGACTCTGCAAATACCCATCTCGGTTTACGTGAGTATCAATCCATATCCCGGTAATGTTGGCGGGTTTTCTTGCGTTCAGCAGAGGCTTGTCGAAGCTGAAAAATGCTATTCAGAACACCGAGAGACTTCAAACGAGCCTGCACAGTACAATTCCATTCATTTTTTTTTGTTCATTTCATTCATTCACATCAACACAACACAAAAGAACCCATCAAAGAGAGAGAGAGAGACCTGGTTCTCTAACACGCGAGCGTTTCTAAGAGCTTCATATTCAGATTTTGCTCTCGCTCTCAACCTTACCATCTTAATGTTCTCTTTCTTTTCTTCTTAGCTTCTTAGTTCTTTGCACTCTCATCTTTGATCTTCTCAGCTACACTTTATTTTTCTCTTCCCTCTCAATTCTTAATCTCGGAGCTGCAAAGATGTTGAAAAGGATTTCTCTTCGTGGTTAAATGGTTCGTCATTCGCTTTCATTATGAGTTTTCATTTGCTTTTGATGTTAATTTTGCTTTCCGTTACAACTTTTGCTATGATTTCAGCATCACGCGATTGTAACAGGTATGTTAATTGTGTTTTGTTTATTTATTTATTTTTAATTCAACGGTGGAGCGTTCCTCCTTGTTTATTGTTCGTTTTGAGTTCATATTCGCTTGAGGTAAATGTCAAGTCGATTTTGAATCTGTAGATTCCTCAGTTGAAGAGGGTATATGATCATGGAAGAAAATTCTGATAGTGACTCTGACATTTAAGTTTTTTTTGTAATTATGTATTTGTGAAAATTATTTTAAATACTTATAACTCTCTATCTTATGAGAATTCTTCATATTGAAGTTACGTTTGTAATAGTGAATATAAACTAGATTTGTAATATATTGGATTGGTAAGAAGTGTGATAGAAGAGTCACCTTCTTCTCTATATAAAAGATACGAAATGAAGAACCAATTTGATCATGAAAATATATACTACTGATAACAATAAATGCAGTTAAATACTGAATACTTTATCCATTTATTCTTTAATGTTCATGCCTTTAAAAGCCTTACTAACTGTTGGGTATGTAGGAGTGTTAGGATATGGATGTTATATATGCTCTTCGCCCTTTGGCATAAGTATTTTCTTAATAGTCATCCTTCTCAATATTGAAAGCGTTGTCCACGTTTTTTGTGTGTGTGGGTGTGTGTATTTTGTTTCAGGGAGAGACGGGCTAGCAAAAAACTTACGTTATTTATGTAATACTTGACTCAAAAGTGTTTTGCCTTGATTACTTTTACAGCTATATGAATTCTCCTTCTTTCAAATTTTGAAAGTTTTGATTGACAAGAAAAAAAATTAAATTATATCAAATAGCTTACAGGATTGAGTTGATGGCAATGGTCAAATTGTTCAGGTTAGTAAATTGTTGGTTCATTTTGAAGCGCACTTATTAATATTAAGTGCTCATAAGGTTGGATTATTAATTGCTATTGTTATATAGAATTGAAGTAATATTATCCTCCTTGTTTATCGACACTGGTTTTAATTTCTGCTGCTTCTCTTTC